TTATTTTATATATATATACATATAAATTTGCAATATATTGATATAATTTGAGAAATTCATTTATGTAATAAAAAAAACGTAATTAAATATTCAAAATCCAAAGAGAAAAAAAAGAAAAACTGAAAAATCTAAAAAAACCAACTAAATTCGCGAAGAAAAATAGCAAAACTTGATCGCCAGGATCAATAGATCGAAGATTTCTATCACCTAAGCTAACAACAATTTGTTTTGTATAATCTTTATTTTCGGATATATAAAGTACTTACATTATATTATATTTCCATAGATATGTTTATCTTTTTAATCGCTAAATCATTTTTCGAATAAATTATTACGAATTTTCAACAATTATTAATTAGTTTTTAGGAATGGTTAACACTATACTATTACGATTACTTAAAAACTATTACAACTATTCGATAAAACGAAAGGAGCACTAAAAGGAACTCGTCTAATATATATATATTATATATCAAATATTCATAATTTGGAAAATCATTTTAAAAGCTGATACTTAATGGGTCAATCACGAATTAAGACATTAAAACGAAGCTGACACATTTTATTCTCGTACAAATTCTTTTTTTTTTTTCACCCTATTTACACAATCCTCGATGATTTTGTTTGAATTTTTCGAAACAGAAAAAAGTATACCAACGAAGGGACCATTCCACCACATCGGATAAATGAACGATCGCCATATTCAATTTTTCGAATATAAATCGATAATCGCATATACCCTATCTCGATATTACAATCGCGCGAGATCTCGTCTTGTAAGGACGGTATACAATTTTTCGGACGGTGTGTGATTTGTTCTCCAGTCGAGATGGTCAGGATTTATAATACGAGGAATATGTTTTCGCAAAGAGAGGTATTACAAACAATATTATGATAAAATTGATCCTTGATTTTATATTCTGTATACCGACTATCTTATAATAAGGGATTCTATAAAGATTTCACACGGTTGATCAACGACTCGACTTTTCTCTCTCTCTCTCTCTCTCTCTCTTTAAAATCATCGACAAAACGAAACATAGTTTATACATAGGATATTAATCTTGTCGAACGATTCACGACTTCAATGGCTAAATAATGGCGAGATATTAAATTCAAATTTATTTCATTTTGGAATAAAATTCAGCCATTGAACCGTGAGGATTAAAATGATCTATCGAGAATATCGTACGTATCATAAGTTGTAGAATTTTATTATTCATTTGCTTATTGCAGTCTTTTATTTTATTTTATTTTATTTTATTTTATCGTATAATTTTGAAAAATATGGAACGAAAATGAACTTTTCTATTCCAAAAAACTGCAAAAAAAAAAAAAAATTATATTCTCTTGATACACGAGTCGCGAGTTGAAAATTATCGACCGATATTTTCCAAACGATATTTCATTTTTCTTATCCGATTAGCCGATCACTAAATCGTCTTGGTTAAAATTGTCCCAACGATCAGATTAATTGACACACATTTTGAAATTTAACATAATATTTTCATAATCTCATCTATTATTTCGATCAATTTTCAAAAAACTTTCAAAAAATTCAAAAAATATTCCAACTAAAGATTGGACCTTCTCTTTATATTTTTTTTTTTT